GAGTGGCACAAGGAAGCTCAGGTTAATCCCCCAGACCCAGGTAGCGCGCTATATGTCCAGGACGTCAGCGAGGAGGAACTCACCGAGGCCATTGCGGCGGGCGAAAAGGATGATCTTGAAGCGACAGGTTTTACAGTGTCTTCGAGAGCGAAAAGGCTCAGGTTGAGGTCACACGAGTATCCAGCAGTGCCAGTGAGACCAGTAACAGAAAGCAGGAATCTGGAGCGCAGCGCAATTACGGAGAGCTCACAAGACAAGAGGATCCAGACACAAGTGAGCCTACTGAACGGGCATCGTTACCTAGGGCAAGCCGATGCAGACGACACATTTACATCAACCCAAACAATAAGAAGGTTGACAACAATTTTAAAATTCTTCTTAGACGGTGGTTATTGTCACGAAGCACCTCCGGGTACGCATTCAAAAGGATAACCGTTGCACTATTGGCAAAAGGACTAGGATGTAAAGCCGATGGCTTTACACTGCGTACACTATATAAGGTTGTATCAATCGGGAATTCAGGCAGGATCTCAGGTTCTCAGGCAAGTTCTCAGGTAGATAATCAGGGGTCAACGGGAGCCACGCTCACACCGTGACAGTTATATCCTGGATGACGGTTCATGTTCCAAGAGTGTCCCACCTACTACAGTAAAATGTTTCATAGCGTCGCCCAGCGACGGGTCTGAGCCCGAGCAGCCCCGTGGTAAGAAATACTCAGAATAAGATGGCTGCTATGCCTCCGCCTAGCGAAGAAGAGCACTGTGTCTAAGTTTCAATACTACTTATGTTCTCTGATACTGCTGGTGTAGAGAATTCCTGCTATTTTGTGAATACAATATTCTTTCAAAGTGCCTTGACTCTATGACTTGCGAATTCTTGATTAGGGATATAAGCACCTTTATAGCACCTTTGTAAGCATTTCTCCAAGCAAGTATCCAAGTACAGTTCCAAATAAGCAGGGTAGTAAAGCCTAGAACAAGTCAATTTCTTCTGCCGGCAGGATTTGAAGCAATATGCTGAAGAGGGTAATAATTGTGCACAGAGAATGGCGGCTGGTATCTGCTGTAAACTATTACCTGGGTTGGCCTGAGCATGGGAAATGTAATATTGAGACCAGAAGTCTTTTCTATACAGCTGACAACGATATTAGATCTACTTGTATCTTAACTAAAATACTTTGTACACTAGAATCATTAGAGTTGGTTTGGGCCGAAGGTATTTAACTGATTTTGAAAGTTTCAACTTAACTTTACCTAAAGTCTCGCTTCTCACTCAAAGATAGTATGAAAACTCATATAAAGTTTGAGTGAAAGATAAAGT